AAAACAATGAGAGTGACTTTTCCTGTTCCTTCTTCATCCTGGAGAGCCCACTGAACCTGAGTAACATTGGTGTGTGTTGGTCCTTGGATTAACTGACAGCTCAGGGTGACATCATTTCCAATGTATCCAGTCACTTCAGGTGAGACTTCGACTCTTTGTGCCACAAAAACTGCCAAAAGGTAAATGACAACAGAAAGATGAGGGGGAAGAGAGACGAAAATAGAAAAGAGATCAGGTTTCAAACTGGTATTTATTCATGATGTTTTCAAGCATTTCTAGCATAGCATGAGTGTTTTAGAAAATCTGGTAAAAACATAAAACTGGGTCTCACCTGGGAAAAATGTAATGTAAATTAGCTGAATCAGCAGGTGAGATCGTCCGTTGCACATTTTCATTGTACACAACAACAGGAACTAACAACACAGAAAAAGAAAACTTACAAATCATACAGGATCTCTGATTAGGTATGTCAGCTTTCAAGATAAACTCAAAGAAACTTACACAATTACAAACAGAGGGATCCGTAACCTTTTAGTTCAGTCCAAGGCTAAAACCTGGAGACTAGACTGAAATATTCGACCACTGAAAAAAAGAGTTCGCAAAGAGGAACATAGGCTGATTTAAGTTCTTAAATGCAGCAGTAAACAAAACGAGATATTTCCCATAAAACCACAGGCTCAAAATAACTCTGTTGACTAAGACGCAATGAAACTTGGGGTGGGTTGAAACTTTACTCTTTTTTTTTTTTTTAATAAATGTATCTGCCTACAGCTATCCACCAGAAAAATGTACATTCAAATAAAAAAAACTTACCCGTTAAGGGGAGAAAGAACGGCACAGCCACGTCAGAAACCAATTTGTCATCCATCAGAACTCTTACTGGAAATGTATTGTGTACCCGAACCATTACACAGTGATCTTTAACTTTGTGATTTTCAGCTCCTGTGTAGTGAGCATGATGTCAGGTTACTCCTCTCTGCCTCCTTTCATGTTCTGCTCAACGGGGACATCGTGTGGTCAAATCAGGGTGATCTCGGTTAGATACTGAGCTATGCTGAATTTATTTTATTGACACATGACAAAAATGCTGATAAAATGCTTGAACACATCTGCATTTAGTCAAATCCCAGTTTGAGCCTGTGGGAGCATTTTGAGGATGTAGGGCTCGAACTAAATGTCCGCGCTTTCGTTCCACTTTATTTGAAGGAAGTTAACATCACTTTAACAATAAATATTAACTGCCGGACGTGGTAACATTGGTTGTTTTTTAGGGCACATACAT